TGGATTCCGCGTGGTCTGGTTGCGAGCTTCCCTGCAGCCCCGTGCTTCCCTGAAACCTCGTGCTGACCGAACCTGACAAATGGTGTCCTCAATGCTGAGAAATACAGGCAGATACCTATCCATCATGCCATTCCATCAGGGAGGTGTGTGATTGGCCCCAACTGTATTCTGCAGCAGGACAATGACCCCAAATATACAGCCAATGTCATTAAGAACTATCTTGAGCATAAAGAAGAACAAGGAGTCCTGGAAGTGATGGTTTGGCCCCCTCATAGCCCTGATCTCAACATCATCGAGTCTGCCTGGGATTACATGAAGAGACAGAAGGATTTGAGGCAGCCTACATCCATAGGAGATCTGTGGTTAGTTCTCCAAGAAGTTTGGAACAACCCTCCTGCCGCGTTCCTTCAAAAACTGTGTGCAAGTGTTCCTAGAAGAATTGGTACTGTTTTGAAGGCAAAGGGTGGTCACACCAAATATTGATTTGGGTTTTTCTTCTGTTTGCTCACATTGCATTTTGTAAATTGATTTAAACAATTATAATATATATTTTTGAAAGCACTCTTTACAGCGTTTTTTCACACCTGCCTAAAACTTTTGCACAGTACCGTATATTAGTCTTTGAAATGCCACAAGACTTTTTAAAATTTTTTAGCTGCTAGTTAAACTGAGAGACCACAGATTCTGATGAAAACAGGAAAAACATACCATCTTTCAGATGCCTATTAAATCAGTGATTATGATGCTTAATATTGATTCTAAGTATTTTCCATTTACTTAAGTAATGTTCTGATTCAGAGAAATTGAGGTGTTCTTTTCAGCAGGTACACAAAACTAACAACAATCCTTTCATAAAGTCTCCTTGTTGCTTTATTACATTTATATACCCCTTTTGCTAGTTGGACTCACATCCTTTTGGTGACTGAATTTTCATTTCTCTCCCAATAATTACATCTATTTGAGATTGCTGCATTAGTTTTGTTTTACATTAAATAAAATGAAGCTCCAAAACCTGTAGTGGAACTATTAAAATCCAGAGAGTTACAGTGTCATTTCCAAATATGTCTATCTCTTCAGGGAAAGATATCTGCTACAAGAACAATCTCCCTTGTACCTCTTCGTGTACCTGTAATCTCTTCAAATATGCTGCAGAGAATTTGGATGCTTTCTTCAACAGATTTAGGGACAAAACAGGAGAAAGAGCAGCAAAGAAGGCAACAAGGACAAGACAGCTTATGCATTGTAAAATGTCAATCACGTTAATGATTCAAACACTAAATGGTTTAATCTAGTACAGTGGCAACTGTTCCCCCAATAAGTGCTTCACTGGACCAAATGATAATGCTACAATACGAAATCAGAGATTAGTAGCTGTCTAAAAAGTATAAATAGATTTAGACTTGCAACCATAAAAAAGGAATAGGAGACTTATGATGATTTAATAGGACAAATAAAACAATGCTCATATTTCATGATCTTTCATCAAATGCTCCATATGAATAGTAAACTGAATAGTACCTTGCTATGAATGTAGCCCACGCCCAGCCTTTTGTGCCAGACAGGCTTAGACATACCCATACTGATTATTTCTTAAGTCATGTGTTTCTGCATCAAAGCAAAAGACAGATTTGACCCAATCACTCCCTCTCCAGGAGACTTAATTCTTAAACTAGCAAGGAGAACTCCAGGGTAAATGGAGCAAGATACTATGCCTGAGCTGCAACAACCTTCTCCCTAACAGCTATGATAAACTGCTGGTATCCCCAGGAAAACAGGGCAGGAATGTGAAACAGTGAAGAACCACTGTTATTTCCATCTAAATAGGTAAAAAGCTTATTATTCGATAAATTTATATCCCATATTTCCTCCCCTGCTCCAATTTTCCTTCACAATACTAAGAAGTAGATCGAACCAAGAGGGTGACTGGCCCAGTCATTTTTTCATATTGCTTTAGACTGATATTTTTCTCTGTACAAGAACATAAATTGTGTGGAATCCCAGCCTTCTATTTTCCAGGCTAGAGAGGAAGACATAACATTGTTTTTAAACGAATTCGTATCTTTGTAACATAATTTGAATCTTAGTCCTAATGACTGCAGACACTATCTTGTGGCCTAGCGAAGCACTATATTGTTTTACATTTCACATTTTCCATTTGTCTTTTAGCTCTGGAAGTTATCTTTTCCCTTAACCATGGGTATTTGCATTTTGCTTATGTAAAATTAAATTAGGTTTTTGCCCTTTCTCTCCTCTTCTATTTCCTTTTCTATTCATGTTCTAATTTTGTTTATCTCTTTTAAGACTGGTCTATTGCTAAGGGGTGAAAGAATGACACTTCTAATTGCACATATCAATGCTATATGGCCAGGAAGTGGCACAATTTTTTTCATCTTTACTTCGTAACTTCTAGAAAGTAACACAGGTTGTGGGAGTATGTTTAGGAAGATTCTCACTCATCCAGGTGGAATTGTCTGGAGGTTGAGTCATGGCAACTGGACTTTTCTTTTTGGTAGAGACATTTCGCTACTTGTCCAAGCAGCTTCTTCAGTCTGACTGGACAAGTAGCGAAACGTCTCTACCAAAAAGAAAAGTCCAGTTGCCATGACTCAACCTCCAGACAGGTTGTGGGAGCCCTCTCTCATGAACCAGAGTTAGGAGGAGAAAGCCAGGTGAGGTGCCTCTTAGAAAATTGGGGTAGCAGTGAGAACTACCAGCCACTACTCCAAGGGGCAGAAGATGGAGCCAGGGAGTATAGAACCAGAGGATTCTGAGAGAGGAGGTTTAAAATTTCCATCCTTTCACCTTATAGGTTCTGTTGTGCTGCTACATACCTATTTCTATTTCACATATGTAGAAGTGCTGTTCAGAACATTGCAATGATTGAAGACTTCCTCCTTTCATCATTTGAGCACATCTGCCTGTTGTTACAGGGAAATTCCAAAGCCTAGTTAAGGTGGTATAATGAAAACCATAGTTAATACAACTTTTTGAGAGCCCTGACTTATAAAATTAGAAAGGAACTGCATGGCTTCATTATGAATTAAAGCTAATTTCTCCTTTCCTGATAATGTAGAGCCAAACAGGATCTTCTGAGAAGGAAAAAGCCATGATGCACCTTAAGAATGCTATATATTTCTAATTTAAAACAAGCAGCAAATAAAAAATACAAAACTGCTGCCTGAGAGCAGAAAGCCAACCTAGAAAAGACAAGCAAGACTCCTTTTTACGCTGTACTAAAGATACAAAAGCACTTTTAAGCATCAGCAAACAAATGAGTAAACAGAAAGAAGCTTTATTAAAACAGAAAATACTTAAGAGGTATAAATAAAGACAGAAATATTTAAGAGGTCTTTTGTTTTATAGACGTCACCATATATTTTTAATGGTTATTCATTAGTTTATGTTTTTATCTGTGGTTATTGTTTAGTTTATGTTTTTATCTGTGATTTAATTTTGGGAAATGCTTATTGTTTATATTCACATATTATAACCTACCAAGAATCTCTTGACTGCAGTGAGCAAAATAATTGAATAAATAAATAAATCTTATAGCAATCCCAGTGTGCACCCACTCCAACAAAGTCTCAAATACAAGTGAAAAAATGCCTAAACCACTAGTGCAATTATATAATGAACAATGAAGAAGTCAAGATATAGATATGAAGACTTTCATAGGTAGCCACATTGTACTACTATATATATTGCATCTCATTTGCTGAAGAGTTAAGTTAGAGTAGCCACAAGACTTCCATACAAAAAAGCATGGGAAATAGCCTGAGGTACAGTATGTGCTTTCATTTTGCTACAGCCATTTGGAACCAAAAGGACAACATTGCTATGGTTCTTTCACCAAGTTACAACATCTGAGCTTAAGCTATCCTTTAGATTTTTCTCCATTACAGAAACGGCTGAGTTATTTGTGTGGCAGATGAAGGACATTTCATCTTCTTAACTTCACTCTATTTCTGCCTTTATATCCTGGCATTTTTCATACTACTTTTTTTTTAACAGATGGTAATTTCTGTCCATTATTTGTTTGTTTATATCCCAATTTTTTGCCTGAAAGTGTTATTTTTATTTTATTTTATGGCTGCCCAACTCAAACTATATAACTCTGGGTAGCATACAGAAGTTCCACATATATAGCACTTCCTTCAAATTTTCCCTTAATAATCCTGTGGGACTAGATGGACTCTGCTATCGGCTATTGTAACTTGCTGTGAAGGTGATGCTTTCATCAAGTGGACTCTTAGCAACCACATAAATAGACCTTCTCTTGAGTGATCTGTCCCCAGTTTGGTGCCTTGAATTCTCTCAACCATGCACCCATTGTTATTATAATTGAGTCCATCCACTTTGCTGTTGGTCATTCTTTTTCCTTTCACCTTTCCCACCATTATGGATTCCTCAAGAGAGCTGGGTCTTTGAATAATGTGTCTAAAATATGGTAATTTGAGCCTGGTCATTTGTGTCTTGAGAGAGAACTCTAAATTGATTTAGTTGTTTGTTTGTTTGATTTTAAAACATGATGTGTATCCAGAGAATGGTTCCCAGCATTAATATTTAATCCTTCTTTCACCTCCTTTCCTAATTATGTATATTGTAATTCATGCATTTTTTTACTAGGATGCATAAGCTATTGTTTAACAACAAATAAATATTTTCAATATAATTTAGACAATCCCGCAAGTAGCTGACTTTGTTTATTTGAAAATAACATATCTGCAACTTTGTTGTTGTTGTTTAACGAACATGTTAAAATAATACCTTCCATTAGTTGGGATCTCTCTTCTCCAAACCAAAGACAATAGTTTAGTTTAATTTATTAAATTTGTTATAGCCTCCCACTCCATTAGACTCCATAATACTACTGGTACATGATCAGAAAAACTGAACCAACCAACGTTATACTTCTCAAACTAAGCTAACTATCAGCTGAGATATTAAAAAGTAGTCAGTCCTGAACATGTGTCATGTACAGTAGATCAAAAAGTATATTCTTGCATATTTGAATTACACTGTATCCATGTGTCCACTGAAATAAATTCCCAGATGTATATATGGAAAATATTCTATCTACTGGGTTTCACTTTTCCTTGAAATGTATTCCAATCTAATAATGGATCCAGAATTTAATTAAAGTCTCCAGCAATAATTATCTGGTTAACCTTTAACCTCAACATATTTGCAAAACAGTTAAGTGAAATACTAGGTTTATCTTTGGCTGGTCCAGAGAAAATTTATCCACACCATCTGGCAATCTCCATTTTTAACTACCAATATTATGTAGTATCCTTCAGAATCTAAAATCTCTTGCTTAAATAAAAAAGTTAGATGTTTTAATTAGAACTACTACTTTGATTTATAAAAGGGGAAGAGGGGGAGGAGGGGATACCCTGCCAGGAAGTGTCTATGAAACCAATATACCCAGCAACCCTTCAAAATAATAAATCATGTCTGAGAGGACTGTTGTGATACTTCATAGGTAACCTGAGTGTCCAACCTTTGTTTAAAAGAGTTAAGAGCTATTTCTGGTTCATAGGATTTCTTCACAACAGTATCCAGTGACAAGCCCAAAATTTCAGGATATAAAAGGAAAATCTTTATCCCCTGTTGTCTGGTCATGAGATGTGCATTTGCTAGTAGATTCTCTCCCAGCAACCCTGTTGAAATACTCCCAGATTCAACTGTTCATCCCCAAATCACAACTAATGGGAACCACCCATGTGGTTAGAGTGGAACCACTGAAAATAGGATTCACAACTCCCAAACCCTGCAGGTGATCTAGTAAGACAATGGCCAATGGTATAAAAAGCTACTAAGAGTTCTAAGAGAACCAAGACAGGTATATTCCCACATTCTAGATCCCAATAAAGATTAACTATGAGAGCAAGCACTACAATTTTGGTCCAATGCCTGGGTCTGAATTCTGACTGAAAGGAATCCAAATAATCTGCTTCCTCCAGAAATCTCTTAACTGAAGCCCTACTACCTTCTCAGTAACATTCCCCAGAAAGGGAAGGCTGGAAACATACTGTACATAGCATGGATGTATGAAGAGATATCTTCTTCAACTGAGGGCAAACTAATGCTTCTTCAAGACTGGAAACACCTTGGCTTTATTCAGAAAAAGCACTTTTGCCTCTCAAACCCTGTCACTTACATACCCCCAGCTGCCTAAAAGAGACATGGATCCAGCTCACAGATGGCAAAGCTCATACTACAAAGAATCATAACTACTTCAATAGTTGCTGCAAGGTCAACAAATCTAAGATAACATTGTAAGATGTTACCTCTGCATATTAGATTCTATTCAGTTTGTGTTTCAGTGGATATGAGCTATTTTATCACCAAGAATTTGGCAAACATCTTCAGTGGCCTGCTGGAGCACTAATCTATTGCTATCCAATAGGAAGATTATCCTGATCAGGGTCCCTGGATGTGATTTGGCCAATGCAATAAACCCAAAGGATGCTCACTTCATTGCTCTTATCACCACAATGGTGACCAAACATAGGCATGATCTAAGATATTCATGCGTTTCCTTTTTCTAGGCAACTTTTTCATTTGCTTCATTTCCTGGAATTCCTTGCAAATCAAGGAGTACTCTGATATCATTGACTGAGAACAGGCTGATCAGGAGCAATTTCATCCCAACCCTCAAATTCCAGAGGGTGACAAGAATGCAGCAGAACTATTTCCCAGGTCAAGGGGAAATTCTCCAAGTGCCATCAGGAAATCATCTGGATCTATCAGATGGTTACTGGTATAAATCTATATCTGTGACTGGAATAAACCAAGTAGGTCATCTATCTCAGGAAAGACTGGAAATGGTAGGGTTCAGCTTGAGCAGAAAGTGTTAGAAAGGTGCACATAAAGTGACCAAAGAGATATCAGCTCCTCCAAATGCAATATATCTCTGAGACAGAAAGCTTAGATGGATAAATGTTGATTGCTTGGCCCAGTAAATTCCACCAAAGGATTGCTATGAAGAACAGTCATAGAGGCAGCATTTACTCTCATAGAAAGACATCAAATGTGGAATGTACACCCTAGCTTGAATTGTGAGTGGTCAGAATCTGACTGAAACAGTAAGACAACAGCCTGGACCCTTTATGCAGATCTTAGAAAGACAAGAATAAACAAGAATGGTCCTTTTTTAACATGGTAGCTTTATGCCTATGATTACTCTCTCAGTGTCGAAGATCAGGGAAGAAAATGAGTAATATAATGTTCTATCAAGGATAAGCATAGATAGCTTTTGGTAGGAAGGAACCTCTGCGTCATGAAACCACTGTATCTCAGTGGGTAACTAGAAAAAGAAAGTCCATTTGTAAGCCATTTAGTCTGCTAGCACTAGATATCAGGAACACAGTTTCCCTTGAAAACAGACAGAAGAGGAGCTATCAGTTTAAATAGTTTGACCAACAAACATAACTAAAGAAACACTCCTCTTTATACTGGCAAAGATTCTGCAGTAGGCAGATGGACCTGGTGAAAAGCCAGGTCTTGATGGCCTTCCGAAAGGCTAAAAGGGTGGGGGCCTGCTGAAACACCAGGGAGATGATGTTCCATAAGTAGGGGCAGCCACAGAAAAGGCACACTTCTGAGGTTCCCCTAGATGGCAAGATTTCAGGGAAGGGACCTGGAGCGTGCCTACCCTATCCAAACTGGTAGGATGGACACAACAGAGGCATAATATGGGCGAACTTAGGAACACCGAATACTGCACACACCGCTGTGTTCTGGACATGTTGTAGCTTCCGAGTGGTCTTCAAGAGCAGCCTTATGTAATGTGCATTGCAGTAATCAAAACGGGAAGCAACTAAGGCATGAGTGACCATGAACAAGGCTTCCCGGTCCAGGAAAGGGTCCAATTGGCACAGAAGATGAATCTGTGCAAAGTCCCCCCTAACTATGGCTGCCACCTGCTCCTTGAGCAGGAGCTGTGAGTCCAGGGAGACCCCTAAATTGTGTACCAGCTCAATCCAGGGAAGTGCAATCTAGAGTCAAAGATGACAAATCACCAGACCCCGGGGGGCCAAAAACCCAAAGTCACTCTGTCTTGCCAGGGTTGAGTCAAAGTCAGTTTCTCCCCATCCAGACCCTCACAGCCTCCTTCAAGGCAGGCAGTACCTTCCCTTCCCATAGGTATTAACCACCGCTTGGCCCTAGCCACATGCCACCTCCCAGGAGGACTTAATTAACCAAGAGGGGCATGGGTCCAGGGCACAGGTGGCCCAGCTCACAGCCAGGACCCTGTCCAGTTCCTCAGGATCAACTGGCTGAAACTCCTCCCAGATAACAGTGCTCAGACATGCTAACATGCTAACACATTCGTTCCTGGTTTGTTTTATGCCATACCTACTGATCAACAGATGTGAAAAGCAGAACTAGCTAAAAAGAAACAAACCAAGAATTGGTAAAATAAGCAATAATTACTTCACTCAGCTGCAAGACTTGAGCATTACGAGGGTTTTAGATTCTCAGGAATGATTCAGACATTCAGCACACAAAAACCCAACTGTGATTTTGTTTTCCTTTTATTTGTAACAGGGTTTTCTAGCTTTGTTTTCAAGCAGGTAAGACTAGTTATGCAGCATTCAATTAAGGCAGTTAAATAAATATCTCCACTGATTTCTTCCCCCACTCTCCCACCTCACTGCAGCTTTGCAGTAAGAGTTAAGCAGGTGATTTATGTATGCCTGTTCATGAACTTTGTTCATTTCAAAGTTAACAATTTATCTACCGGCAAAGTTAAGTTTCTGCTTCTGGTAAAGTCTACCCAATTATGTGTTTAGCTATTTCTACAACTCCCTCCGTTCTCAAAGATAAGGATATTAGTTGCACCTGGCTGGCAATTTCACAGCAAGGCAGGACTTGAATCTTTTTAGTTCTTCAACCTTTCCCCAGGACAACAGGGCAAAGCAGACATGTCCCTCACTGCATCTCTCCTTTTCTTCCTTGTATTCAGGTCACTCTGGAACATTTCAGCAGTCTTCTCCTAGGCCACCCTGGAATATTTCAATGGTCTTCGATCCATTCTGGAAGAGTTAAACCTTCAACAGCTACAATGCTCTTGTCCAACATAGTTCATTAGCCATCTCTTCTCTCCCTCTAAATTTTAACTAACTCTTCTCTTCCTGCCAGTACATCAGCCCATATTTTACTTCCCTATACCTGTTATTCTCTCAGATTATGCTTATCAGAACAAAAGAACAAAATGCATATCTGGGTAGTTATGTGACAAGATGGCAGACACTACCTGGCTGTTGTGTTCCATCACACTGAGCCTGACTTGGTTCTGGCTTATTCAAAAATACATGACTTAAACAAATAATGGTTCAGTGAGATATATCATACAATCTGTTTCTGTTGTAATGCTCCAGTGAGTTTTTTTTCTTCCTTTCTTTTTTAAATTGCTGCAACTATGTTACTTTCAATTTCTCAAATTCGTTGCCTTTCAAGTAATAGCAACAATTACAGTTAGAACAAAAATCTATAGTGGAGTTACAAGACAAAATATACAGAAGGTTTGAACAAAGTAAATATATTTTTAAAGACCTGATATGTTTTTTTATATTATGGCTATTCTGTCTTTATGTTGTAAATATTTTTTTCAGTTTATACACAGAGAAAGCTCATTCCCTTCTTTTTAACTGTTTGTGTGTGTGAGAGAGAAAGAGAGTGAAATAAAACAGCTGAAATTGACTGCTCACCAGGCATATTTTGCTAGAACAACATTTCCACGACCACTACTCCATGTCCATGTAGTTCCTTGCTGTTGCAAACCAATCCAGCTCTCCCTTTCCAACATAGCACCAAGCCACTCCTTAAAAAAGCAAACAAATAAAAAACAAAATTTTTTAAACAGTATCTTACTTGAGGTCTTTATGAGATATCTAAAATTGGTGATGGAATAGGTTAGGACCAAAAACTGAAATTCAGCCCATATAAGACAAAAAATTACGTTTGATTTATTCATTGAACTTATAACCTGCCACATCAAATGACTCTCGGTGGCTTACAAGATATGCAGCGCACAACAATTAAAATATCCATGGTAAAATAGTGATATAAATGACAATTAAAACAAAAATGGTGCAATGCATTAAATCAAGAAAATACCCTTCAAAATAGTTTCGTTTTTAGCAACTTCTTAAAAGCCAGCAGGAAGAGGGTAAGACTAACCTCCAAGGGAAGGCTATTTCAGAGCAGCAGCACCACCACAGAATTTACCATGGATATATGATTCAGTATGCTCTTGACAGGCTATCATCTCCCTTATATGAATAGGTTTGAAGGTACTAACGAATTCAGCCTTGTAAAAGTTCTCTGTTTTTATCTAGTTTGTTTTAATATTGTTTTATACATTTTCTATAGAATCTTGCTAAGGCAGAAGTATTGCATTAAATATAAAGTACGTGTGCTGGTTCATGACCACAATAACGTTTTTCAGTTTCAATATAAAATACTACTTTAGCAGCTGCTATCCTGAAATTTTTTAAAATTTTATTTCTAAAGGGATTGGATTCCTTACTCACCATTCAACTGTTTGGAACATCTTCAGAGACCCAGTGAATATGACTTTCTACTGCAAGTCAAGCTTAGCCTTAGTTTACTAGATACATAGCCCATACCTCAAAACTCCTTACAAATAATATAAGTGCAAATATATATCATTGGACTTCCTAACTGTTGTTGGTATCCTTTATTTTCTTTCTTTAATCCTCAGAATCATGATATAATCACTGAGTTCTTTGAATCATTGGTTCTGCTGCCATTATCAAACCTTTTCTTAATTTGGAAATTCTTTTATATTTCTCTATATGTAATGTGACTTGATGGAAGTGGAAATCTGAGGAACACAGTCACTATTTGTTTCAGCATTTGAATAAGAAATTGAATTTACTTTTATTATACAATTTTAAAAAGGTTTGAACAGGTTCCCTTAAGATTACAATTAAGGTTAATTTCTTAAGAATATTTTGTGTATCTCTCACAGTAAGATTTCTTTTAACTTTTATTTTATAAAGTAATTATAGGCTATAAAGATGGGACTGGGTCAGCACAGAAAAGACCCTGCTCCTGCTCCTCATCAGTATCAAAGTTTTACTGGTGAACCAGAATGCAGAGTTCAGGTACTGGTTCTAAATCATGGGAAAGTTCCAAAGAGTAACTTAGGCCACAGAACAGACAGATAGTTCTGTAGCTGGTATAAAATTGTCACCCTTTTTAGGTAGGCCAGATTGAGAAACAGACATTACAGGTACTCCTTGCTTAACAACCATTTGTTTAGTGACCGTTTGAAGTTATGACGGTGCTAAAAAAGTGACTTAGGACCAGTGCCCGAAACTATGACCATTGCAACACCCTCGCAGTCATATGCAGCTTCCCAGAGTCATGTGATTGCCATTTGTGACCTTCCCAGCCAGCTTCCAGCAAGCAAAATCAATGGGGAACTATGTGATTCACTTAATGAAGCTGCAAAAAAGGTTGTAAAATCACATCCGGTCATGTGATGATTTGCTTAACAACCGCATCACTTAGCAACCTAAATTCCAGTCCCAATTATGGTCATTACGTATAGGGATCCAGGAATCCTACTCTATTGCTGTAGGGTATAATAACAGAATCTTGAAAGCCTGTTCAGGTTTTTTTCTGTCCCATTTCATACTAAACAAAATCAAGACAAGGATATGTTGAGTTTCTTTTTCATGCTTGCTTCAGTCATTGGACTGCACAATTGTTTTTCCCCTTAGCTGTTTTTTCATACCTTTCCCAAAGTCAGCTCTAAATTTCTTTATAAGAGTAACTATAAAAGGATCCTACAAGCATGATGGCTGCTGCACTCTGCACCAACTATGCAAACTTACAGCACAGTACCATTACCATGTATGAATATATGATATATATATATATCAAGTGGACACACCAGTTGTAGGATTATACTGTATAGAGAAAGCTGATCTTATCTTAGTAACATCTTCTTCCCATATATGGAAGAAGATGTTACTAAGATAAGA